AAAAAAAACATTTACTGGAGATTGAATTTTTCAGCGGAAAATTTCCCATATGACCTTAAGGAAACCAAGATAATGTTCAGTCACTCTCTTTGTTTTGGATAGTGCTTGTAGGGACCTTCGACTACGTCTAATGATGCAGGATGTAAAGGCTGTACTCAAGGTAATGGACATTTTTGCAGAGGGTCACTTTCTCAACGGTGCGGCTGCATTTCATATTGAAATGAAACCTAAGTTCATCAGGAGGGACCCGGTTTTCCTTAGAACCAATGTCAATTTGACTCCCTGTCTGCACACTTGACCAAGGATACTGTTTTGCTAATCATTGTCTAAAAGCTGAAACTGAGCTCTTTTAGCTACAATTTACCTTCGTTCTTCAGAAATCAATGTGGTATTGATTTGGGTATATTGAGCCCTCCCCTCCAATATATGAATCAATCGTGTTACTAGCTACTTCAGAGTAAGCAACTAATTCTCGATTATGAATTTTTCCTATACTCTTCATCGAGGCTACTCGGTTGAGCATTATTTTCGTGCTATCTTGTTTTTTTTTAAAAAAAAAAAATATTACTAATGTCCCCTTTCAGGCTGTAAATCATATCGTTGCATATATTTTTAGTTCCTGTGCACCCATAACCTTTCAGAGGCCGGTCTGAGGAACCCGTTCTTATCTTTGTAATCGTAAAATTGTAGTCACGCTTAGGCTTCGCTTCTCTTGTATTAGCATTTGCGTTCTTTAGCTTTATTACATGCACATTCTATTGGCATCATAAAATAATTAATTGCGCAGTTTAAAATGTAAGATGTGTCAAAATCAAAGGGAGCTAAAGGGACCAAAAAACCGCGGCTGATTTCCAAGTAAATACAACTTCCCATTTTTGTAATCCTGCGACTACAGAAATGACGGGAAAAAGCAGTGTTTTATGGAGGCCTCCAGTCCAATCAAATTAGTTGAAAATAAATTATTCTTCACAAAGGCATAGTGGTATAATTAAGCTATTGAAACAGGGCAGTAATATAAATGAACCAAAGCAGATCAGATTTATACAGAAACGTATGTTCTGCTGCATAATGAAGGGTTGATTATCAGTAGAGTTTACCATCATTCTCTTGCGGAACGTCATCCCACAATAGATAACGTTTGGGAATTTGAGTCACATGCACATCCTCGTCCCCATCTTACGTAAATTAACCATTTAATAAAAAGTTACCAGCGGAGAATTGGAAAACATGGGGAAACTGTCCCAACGAATTAAAGTCGTGATGCGTTTAAATTCAAAATGAGATGCATAACTTTATATTTGTAGACAAAACATGATTGAAAAAGAAGTGGGGAAATAAAAGTAAAGGTATAGCAGTTGATCATGCTTGTGATCAAGACCATGGCTTTGATAGGTATAAGCAAAAGCTGCAAGCTATTTAAGTATAGCCTTCGTACAAATGGAGAGTATTTCTTTTCAATAAAGCTAAAGAGATAAAAGTTGTAGATCAAAAAAGATCTAGTGCCTTAACACTCAGTCATTACACAAAGTTTTGTTTCAAACATTCAGCACCTTGGGCGAATCACTCTGAGAGCTCTAGCAAACTAAGTCTTGTATAAAAAGGAGTGGATCCTTTGCTTCTCTTTCCACTTTAAAACCATGATCAAGAAATTTTTAAACAAGAACAATGATAATTCTACAAGCGACACAGAGGCAAATAGTATAAAGAGACAAAGCTATCTCCTACCTGGAGTGCTCGTTACTACTTTATTTTTCTTGTGGGGCTTCAGTTATGGCTTACTAGATACACTTAATAAACACTTTAGAAATGTTTTAGATATATGTAAGTCAATTGATATTATTAAAATATAAACCGTAACTTATCTTTTTTTCACAGCAACTACTCAAAGTACTTATATGCAAGTGGCTTACTTTGGAGCATACTTTGTCATGAGTATTCCGTAAGTAATTACAGTTCTAGCACTCAACATTTCTTATAATCCATGATATGTATAGAGCGAGTTTGATCTCTAAGCGATTTGGGTATAAAAGGGCCATGATATTTGGTTTGCTACTGTATGTTATTGGCGCTCTCTGCTTTTATCCTTCAGCAATCTACCTTAGTTTCGGCGGTTTTGTCGGTTCTCTTTTTGTCATTGCTTCGGGCCTCTCTACGCTCGAGACATGTAAGGAATCACAAAATGTTAAAGATATGGATTTTAATTCGGTGGAATGCAGGTGCAAATACATATATCGCCATCATCGGCTCAAGAGAGCGCGCTTCATTCAGAATCAATGCTGCACAGGCATTCAACGGGCTTGCAAGTACCATTGCTCCTATAGTAGCTTCTTATGCCTTTTTTGGAGGAACTGAAGATTCCGGCTCCAAAAGCTTGGATTCTGTCAAGTGGACATATATTGGAGTTGCTTGTGGTAAGATTGTATACATGAGAATATCCCATACTCAAGCCTCACACGTGTACTCGATAGGTGTATTTGCTATCGCAGTCTTGTTTTGCTTTGTAAATATTCCCGAAGTAGACGAAGAGGCGCTCATGGCACAAGATTCTGAAGCATCAGGCGAGATTATCCGTCGGGCTTCCATTTATTCCCCACATTTACTTCTTGGGGCCCTCGCACAATTTATGTATGTGGGCGCACAAGTATCAGTGGCCTCCATGTTTATGTTCTATACGAGTGAAGTGGGACATATGCCAGATTCGAGAGGATCAATCATACTATCCGTGGGTATGGCCTGCTTTACAGTTGGGCGCTTTTTGTCTGCTCTTCTCTTGAAGAAATTCCGTCCAGATCATCTCATGGCCATCTTTGCTACCGGCGCTATTATTGCAGATGTGTTTGTTATCGCAATGAAAACCCCCGCGACATCTTATGCTCTCTTGGTAGTCGTATTCTTTGAAAGTATCATGTTCCCTACGATCTTTGCTTTGGGCACAAAGGACCTGGGAAGAAATCATAAACGCGGTTCCGCATTAAGTAAGTTTTCTTGAAACTTCTCCACGCTTTGTCCTACTCTAGAACTTTATCTTTTAACTTTATTTACTTATTTAGTTATCATGGGTGTATCTGGAGGTGCCGTGCTCCCACCTATCCAAGCAGTTGTGCATGACCATAGCAATGTCAATATATCATACGTTATTCCTCTCATTGCTTTCTGCTTCGTATTGTTTTACAGTCTCGTTGGATGCAAGTGGATCAAGTATACAGATGATATTCCAGCAGCTGTTGATCAAAAGGATGTACTTAGCATTGAAGATGAAAAACCAGCAGTTATTCAAACTGAACATAAGCAAACAGTAGCTTTCTAATCATTTTATCACATAACTCTAGTAATAGTCCTGTGAATAGAGTTGATAGTAATACAAGTAATAATAATAGTCATAATAAAAACCATCTGTCATTTTAAGTACACATGGGAAATCTGAAAATCTCGGGTGTCAGAGCAGTAGACGCATAAGCAAGTTGTGTGTGCAACCGCTGTAAAAATTATTCCGAATTTATTCTACTACTTTATGCATAAGATATGCGTTTGGTAAATAGAAAGCTATCGTATATTTTATGTGAATGGAGCTTGTAGCTTAACGTCGTATCTTTTTTCTTCTCTTCTTATACTTTATTAGTTATTTACTCTCCAGGTTATCTTCCAAATTGTCATAATCAATCTTTCTCACACAACCCAAGAAGGTTCATATGACTCCTTTTTCAACTTATAATTTTTCAGGGATATAAATTCTGCTTGGTTGTCTTTTTTGTTTGTATCTCTTTCTTTATGAGCGCAATTATCCCAAGTCCACCTCCTGCGAGTGAAACTGTTGGACTATTCGTCCAAGAATTAACACCTATTGGAAACAGTCTTGTTGGGTCATTCTTTGTAGGCTTAATACCACTATTACTCGTTCTTGTTCTCTTAGGTATCTTCAAAGTACCTGCTCATTATTCTTCTGCCTCTGGACTTGTAGTTTGGTAAGATCTTTACATCATGTTTGATCTGGATACTCATACAGCTATATAGTATATTCATTGCTATATTTGCTTGGCATATGCCAGCACAAAAAGCGTTCGAATCTATAGGCAATGGAATTGTATTTGCAAATTGGCCTATTATGTGGATAGTAGTGAATGCAATGTATGAACATCAAAATAATAAAAGCGCGTCGGGACGGGTGTTGATCATTCCAAAATAGGTTTATTTATAACACCGCTGTTTACTCTGGAATTTTTGAATACTTTCGTCGATGGATGCTGACTTATACGCCTCCAGATAAGCGTATCATCTTGCTTATTGTTGGATATAGCTTTGGTGCTCTCTTGGAAGGTTTGATTAAGGAATTGCTAGTATAATAATGATGACTGATCATTCCCCCTTTTTTTGTTAGGTGTTGCTGGATTTGGAACTCCTGGTGCCATTTGTTCTTCATTGATGGTGTCGTTAGGGTAAAAAGAACTTTTTCTTTTTTTGTTCTTTAAGAAACTTAACCAAAAATAGATTTGATCCACTAGATGCGCTGACGTATACGCTGATTTTCGATACAACGCCTGTCGCATTTGGCGCTTTAGGTATTCCAGTTACAACATTAGCTGCCATCACAGGATTACCTGTTATGAAGTTGTCTGCCATGATGGGCCGTCAGTTACCTCTGCTTAGTCTGTTTTTGCCTTCCTATGCTTTAATCTTTTATGCAGGTAAGTTTTATTTTATAATAAAGTATATCACCTTATATTTCTCTAGGATTCCGTGCAGGGTTCTTGGAATGCTGGCCAGCTGCATTAGTAGCAGGGCTATCGTTTGCAGTGATACAGGTATATATTTTTAGAAATACAACTCGATTTGGTAGCTCATTTGTCTTGTTTAATAGGCTATTTTTGCAAATTTAGTGGGTCCAGAGCTCCCTGATTTGATCGCTGGATTGGTATCCCTAATCTCACTGATTGCCTTTGTTCAATTTTGGAAACCCAAATATAGGCCAGAATATCATGCAAAGCTTATAGGAACAGATCGTACTCGTACGGATGAAGAAAGTCATCATATGGGTAGTATTCATTCAAGCACAGAACCCAAAGAAGAAAAGGAACAGATTGAGGATGTAAACCAGCAGACTGAAAGTTCAATACAAAGCAACAAGCATACGGTTACGCATCACGAAAATACAGAGGATCATCCAAGTATGGAAATTCAAAAACCAAATCTTAGAGAAACCCTGTTAGCTTGGAGTCCCTGGACAATCATTGTCATTGTCGTTATTGTGTAAGAGATCAAAATCAAAAAAGGAAATAATATTGACTTTTTATATATAATCAGGTGGACATTTGCCAAAGTCAATAGCTATGGGAGAGTCTTGGTTCATTGGCCACACCTTCACCAGGAAGTGTACCTTACTCTTTATCAGAAAAAATACGATGCAATATGGACATTTGAGCCCTTAGCTACTGGAACTGCCATCCTTGTTTCGGCAATACCATTCTGTGCACTTGTATTATGGAATGGATCTCATCCTAGAGTGTTTTGGATGGCCCTTAGAGATACAGCAAAGCAGTTATTTTTGCCTATTCTCACAGTATCGTTTATCATGGCTTTTGCTTATCTTTACAATTACTCTGGTATTGCCTACACAATAGGTTTGACCCTTTCATCTGTAGGCAGAGCGTTTCCTTTTCTTTCAGCCTGGTTAGGATGGTTTGCTTGTTTCTTATCTGGAAGCGATACTTCGGCCAATTCACTCTTTGGTAATCTTCAAGTTGTAGCAGCAAAGGAAATTGGATTATCTGCTATCTTAATGGCATCCACAAACTCTAGTGGTGCAATTACATCCAAAATGATTTCACCACAAAATTTAACTACAGGTGTATCGACCATTGGACTACAAGGTCAAGAGGGTAGGGTACTAAGACGCACTATTTTTCATTCTGTCTTTATGGTATGCTTAGTTGGTGCCATGGCTTGTGTACAACAATATGGCATACCTGGAATTATTCCACCTTAACTGTATATTACTATTATTATCTTATTTATTTATTAAACACGTTATAACAGAGTCATGTTTGCATTTAAGCTGTAAACAAATAAGGACTGCCTACATAATCATGTGCCTCTTTATTTTTTTTTTTTCTTTTTTGTCCTTTTTTCACCTTTTAATAATGTACAAGGCAACAGCACTTTCTTCACAGAGTCCTGAATTTAAAGGCATTGCTGGCCTAAATATCATTTATGAGGCTGGTAACGTAAGGATAAGGCTTTATCTATAAGCTTTTATAAACTGCTCCCTTCTTTCTTCATTAGGCCTTGACCCTGAAAGTCGACCCATCTTGGTATTATGTGCTGACAATTTACCTAATCCTGACATTTATGATTATGATTTGATATTATCGTAAGTCAAAGAAATAAAAAGCAAAGAAGAAAATCATGTTTATTTGTTTATACAGCTTTATTATGGCGAGATTGTATGTAACCTTATTCGTATAAAGAAAGGCGGCTATTAAGACAGTTTGTATTAGAGATGAATTTGTAGAAAACGATTACGTTCTCGTCTTCTTTTCTTCGCCCGCCAGATATCGTCCCGGCTGGTTTTGGTTGTTGAAGGCTTATCGTTCTTTGGATAGAAAGTAAGAGCTTAATTGATATAACGTGGTATAAACAGATATTTCTTTTAGATACAAGAAAAATCTTAAAGCGTTATATGTCGTTCATCTGACAAGGATGTATCGTATCATATTTGATCTTGCAAACAGAATTGTCAGGTAAAGGGATGGTATGATATGTATACATGTGTGTATTAATACAGTGCTTAGCCCGAAGTTTGCACGAAAATTAAATTATGTGTCCAGTTTGAGTCAATTAGCAGCTCACATCAAGTTGGATTCAAAGTTTATACCTCAACGTGTTGTCGAATATGATCGTCAATTACCAGTCATGAATCAAGCATCTCCATTGACTGGTTATAGTGCGTCATCCACATCTTTAGCATTCGGACGAACACTGGAAGAACTGGCAAGCATCGAAGGAAAGGATGTCCATGGTTATATTCCAAGAATAGTGTTACAGATTACAGATCACATTCGTAAACATGGTAACTATGGATACTGTAACCATATAATGTGCTACTCACTGGCAGGGATGGATAGGTATGGATAAGGAAGGTATCTTTAGGAAATCACCTTCCAGTGAAGAACTACGATCAGTGAAAAAAGCGTACAATCAAGGTATAACAATAAGGTTAAATAGGAGCTCCAATTGTTCTTATTGTTTGTATTTTAGGACTAGAAGTCGATCTTTGCCAATATGATATAGATGTGCCAGCAGCACTCTTGAAAGTGTTTATCAGAGAACTTCCTGAGCCTTTGATAAGCTTAAGCTTTAGTGACAAAATGGGCCCAGTGCCAGGTAAGCAAGCAAGATCATATGCACTGATACTCACATATCAAGATAGATGCCAGTATATGCTCTCAAAATACATTGGATAAAATAAAGGCGAGTCTAAGAGAGTATTATGATCAAAAACCAGCTCATTTTCAACTTTTGGGCTATTTATGCAAGTTTTTAAAAGAAGTTTCTGAAAATTCTAGCAGGAATAGGATGAACATTCACAATTTATCAGTTGTCTTTACGCCCAACATCATTCGAGCAGAAGAAGTAACGAGTGGAAACTATGTGAATGTACCAGATAATCAGCACTCTGCCTTGGAAAATGCAACCGTCTATCTAAAGCAGATGAGTCAGGGCATGTCACTTGTTGAGCTCCTGATAGCCAAAAATCAAGACATATTTTGAATGACAGCTTAAAAAAATGCCTTATTTGAAACAAGCTCCATGCTGACTTAAAAAAAATACAAAAATAAAAATTTACTTCTCTCGTCATTTTATTTCTTTTTTTTTTTCTTTTATAAACCATGGACGATCCTTCTTTATCTACTGAAAAGGTAGCCAATGATGAATCAAAACAATTACATGAAACTGTGAACGCTGCCTTGAAGGAAGAAGGAGCCAAAGTACACGTGTTTGAGCCGGACATGCCTGCTGAAGAGAAGAAAGCACAAGCAATGACGCACGCTCAATTACCATCACTAGCCACTTCTTCCATGTCATCAACCAATGCACAAAAGGAAAACAATGTATCTAAAGCGCCAGGCGCTTTTGTAGGTGATTCGATACGAGATAAGCTTCCTGACTGGTATCGCGTAGGCTGGACAGGATTTTCACGTCTTCCTAATCCGGGTGATGAAAAGGCCATGACAGAACTACTCAAGACACGTACAGCAGAACAAGTTCAAGATCTCTTCCAAAGTGCACGTACCTCCAATGGTGACGACATCAATGACTTTATCGCTCAATTTATCAATGAGAAATATTTTGGGGAATGGTATCATAATTGTGCTGTCGTCTTTATTTCCATTTTTTTCACTTGGCTCTTAATCAAATTAAGGTTCGGTCTGATGTCTTGTTTTATTGTTGGTGCTTTTTTTGGTATGTCTGTGTAACAAGCAGTAATATTGGACTAACCCTCGTCACATTAGCGACTTATTACCGAACATCCATCAAACGTACACGACGCAACGCACGGGATGACATACAACGACAAGTCAGTTTAAATCGCATGGAAACAGATACTGAAACAGTCAATTGGATGAACCACTTCTTGGATAGATTCTGGCTTATCTTTGAACCTGCCTTGTCTGCTCAGATCATTGGTCAAGTGGATGCTGTCCTAAGCGAGAACACACCTTCCTTTTTGGATTCAATCCGAATGAGTAGTTTCACATTGGGTACAAAGGCTCCTCGTGTAGACGGAGTTAAGGTGCTGACAGGATCAGCTCCTGATACGATTGTAAGAAAACATGATTATATTGATACCATATGGTTAACATGGCAAATAACTAGTGTATGGATTGGAAATTCTCTTTTATACCAAACGATACACTCGACATGACCGAGCGTGAACTTCAGTCCAAGGTGAACCCAAAGATCGTCCTGACGATCCGTGTAGGTAAAGGTATGCTTGGAGCAGGTATGCCCGTACTGCTCGAGGATATTGCTTTTAGTGGACACATGCGAATCAAGCTCAAATTATTCAATGAAATGCCACACGTTAAAACAATAGAAGCCTCTTTTCTCGAAAAGCCTCATTTTGACTATGTTCTCAAGCCTGTTGGTGGTGAAACGTTTGGTTTTGACATCAACAATGTAAAGAAGAAAACATGTATTTCTCTCTGTTTTTTTTTAATCTTTTATATTAGATCCCTGGTTTACAAACATTCATTCAGGATCAAGTTCATGCCAATCTAGGACCCATGATGTACGCACCCAATGTCTTTACTCTAGATGTGGCTGCCATGATGAGTGGAGGCGTTGATTTAGAAGCCGCCAATGGTGTGCTGGCTGTTACCCTTTATTCTGCTAATGGGCTCAAACCCAATGATATGTTTGGATCTCTTGACCCTTACTGTGCCTTCCATGTTGGTAACGCGCATAACCCTGAACTGGCTCGTTCTGCCGCTATAGAAAACAGTAATAACCCCAAATGGAATGAAACTCACTTCTTACTACTCAACAATCTCAATGATCCTCTCCTATTCCGAGTCATGGACCGCAATACAGGTCGAAATGACGCTGAAGTAGGTATAGCCACTCTTGATTTACAAGAGGTCAAGGAAAATCAAAACGCTATTGAAGGTTTGAATCTGGTGCTTCTTCGTAGTGGTAAGCCTGTAGGTGAAATCAAGGCTGATGTCTGCTACTTTCCTGTTTCAAAGCCTGAAAAGAAAGAAGACGGTACTGTTATTCCTCCTGCAGAATCAAGTAATGTGTTTTCTCTTTTCTATATCCAAAATTATTTATTTTTTTTATAGGCAGCGGTATCCTTCGATTTTACATTCAAGACTGTAAAGAACTCGGTGGTACTGGCAAACAAAAGAAGGGCGGATTACCTGTTGTCGGTGGTCTTCCTGTCGTAGGTGCTCTTCCTGTCATTGGTTCCAACTCGAGCGATGTCAATGCGTATGCGATCGTCAAGGTCAACGGACAAGAGAAACTTCGTACGCACATATTCAAGCGCAGTTCAAATCCACGATGGAACAAGTACGTCGAGTTGTTTGTGATGGATAAAGCCAACATGAACATCGACGTCATTATTAAAAACAGCATTGATTTCGGTGAAGACACTGTCCTCGGTCGATGGACCTCCAGTTTGATCGACATGGAGAATCAGCTTGTGAATGAAAAGAACGACTGGTGGAACCTCAAGGACGGTACAGGCAAGATTCATCTCGACATGACTTGGAAACCTGTTCCTCTGATCGGATTCTCCGCTACTTTGAATCATGGCCGCTACCGTAAGTGATTCTTATTACTTGTGCTGCTAAACTAATTCACTATAGAACCCCCTATTGGTGTTGTTCGTGTCAAGATGAACCATGCCAAGGGTCTTAAGAACGTAGAAGCCCTGACGGGTGGTAAATCTGACCCTTATGTCCGGGTGATGTCGGGAATGCAACCTCGTGGGCAAACTGAGGCTGTATTAGACAACTTGGATCCTGTGTGGGATACGGCCTTATATGTGCCTATTCACTCCATGCGAGAAGACTTGCTGCTTGAGGTTATGGATTGGAATGACGTTCAAAAGGACAAGTTCCTTGGTATGTGCGAACTCTTGATTAAGGACATTGTTGCTGAAAAGAAGGACGAAAACGATCAAGTCGTGTATGAAGCACTTCCAGCCATAAAGCGAACAGTAGAATTGATCAGTCATGAGAGAAAGACAGGCAGAGGACAGCTGAACTATGAAGCTTCTTTCTTCCCTACACTTGCCTTGGCCAAGCAAGCCACTGATGAAGAAAAAGAAGACAAGAAAGTCAAGGAAGGCAAGAAAGAAGAAATGGACGCTGAAAAGGTAGATGCTCCCAAAGCGACATTGCCTGAGCAAGATGTTGTGGAAAAAGATCTTAATGGAGAGATCATTCATTATACGGCAGATAAAAAGATCGACTTGTTATCTTACGAATCCGGCGTTCTTTCAGTCACGATTCATCAAATTCAGTTACCTAGCAAAACAAAGGCCATTGCTGAAATACTCGTCGACTCAAACGATGCTCAATACCGTACAAGCCAGCAGAAAGGTGATCGACTGTACTTTAATGAAACAGGTGATGCCTTTGTGAAGGAAATGGAGTTTTCTCGTCTTGTTCTTAATGTTCGCAAACCGGACGATAAAGGAGAAGAGCGTATTGGATTCTTCACAAGCACCGTACGAGATATCGTGAAAGAGATTATGAATGGATCATTTGAAGAAGACAAGAGCAAGGAGTATCGACTGCTGGGATGTGCAGAAGGCAAGATTCACTTGAGTTTCAAGTTTACGCCTGTAGTTCGATTCAAATTAGATCGTAGCGAAAGTTTAGAAAGTAAGTGAAATATAGTTACTTCACAAACAGAAACTGATATCTTTTAAACAGATCAAGGCAATCTAACAGTCGTCGTGGTATCTGCCTCTGGTTTAAAAGCAGCAGATAAATCAGGCACAAGTGATCCCTATGCCGTCTTTAGCCTCAACGGACAAAAGGTATACAAGACAGAGACATACAAGAAGCAATTGAATGTTGTCTTTAAAGATGAGAAATTTACTGTTCCTGTGGTAAGTGACTTGTTCTAAACAAGAACGTGGGCTGATACGATCTTTGTTCTAGTTACGCCGTACGGAGGCTAAATTCTCTGTTCGCATATTCGATTGGGATCAAATTGGATCTGATGAATTACTTGCAGAAGGAGTTATTCCCATTGATGATTTAGAATCATTTACAGCCAAAGAGGTCGATGTGCCCTTGACGGGAGGTAGGATTGTGTTGAGAATGAAATGGGAGCCTCAATTGCTTGCACGCAAGCGTGAAGGCACTTCTCTCATTGGATCAACCACACGCTTTTTAAGTTCCGGTACAAATATTGCTGGTGATGTCGTCGGTCTTGGTGTGGGTGCAGGTGGCAAGGTCTTGACAGGAGGAACTAAACTTGTTGGTGGTGGCACAAGAATGGTTGGAGGTGCGATCAATGGAGGTATTGGTGCTATTGGTCGTGGCTTTGGCAAAATTGGTGGTCACAACAAGAAGGCATCTGAAGCCAGTGTAGGTCCTGTGAGTCCTACGAGCTCTACCGGTCCTATCAGTGAACAACACACATTGAATACACAAGAATTACAACAGAGTGTGATTGGATCTATCACTTCATCTGAATCAACCTCAGGACGTAGATCGATGGCTGAAGAAAGTGAGTGATAGTATTAAGAAAGAACCAGTTTGCTTACTTTTTTTTTGTCGCACAGGAAATGTTAATGTTAAGGTAACATTGATTGGTGCCAGAGGATTAAAAGGAATGAATCGGGACAAGACAAGTGATCCTTACTGTCGAGTTCGTCTCGGCCGACATACGCTTCACAAGACAAAGTATATCAAAAAGACATGTCAACCAGAATGGTAAGTAAAGTATATTTCTATGGAAACGGTGTCTAAACTATATATAACAGGAACGAAACGTTTACTACCAAAGTCTTTGGCTCATCTGTCCTTGAACTTGTAGTAAGGGACCATAATACATTGGCAGATGTTGACATTGGAGAAGCAAGCATAAATATAGCAAATTATGTGAATGAAGGTAAACCATTTGATGGCTGGCTTCCACTTTCACCTTCAGGCAATGGTGAAGTTCATGTTCAAGTTGAAATTATTCATTAAGCTCAGTGGTTAACTGAGATACAAATTTAGAAAATAAAAATGTTTCACAGAAAGTCAAGTGAAGTAATAACGAAGAGATTCCCCCTCCTCTTTTTTTTTCTTTCTTTTTTTATTTTCCTCGCTTTTTATCTCTTTTGGTCATTTTTCGTACTTTTTATTCATAACTTCCCTTTCCCCCTTTTTTCTCCCCCTTCTTTAGCTTCTCTTTATATCTCTCCTCTCTTGGAAAAAAAAAGCTATTGATTAAAGATGTCTTCACCAAGTAATCCAAATGGACTTTCCAGATCGCTTTCAAGTCATCTGCACAAACTAAACATTCGGTCATCAGAGAGTGCACCTACGACACCCGATATATTCTCCGAGAAAGAATTAGGTTAGTTATTATATATTAATACACATCATTTTTATTGAATGATATCTAGGCCGTCATCATAAGCATATATCAATGGAAAATAATGAGACTACAAGTCCAAACAATAAACCGAGTTCATTCCTATCAAGGACATTATCCTCAAAGCGCGATAGATCTAATTCAGTTGGTAAAGGACACCATCGAAAGCAATCACCTTCTCCTCCTCCTCTCCCTACTTCAACCACTCAAAACCTTCAATTGAAATATTCTCCACAGTCATCTAGTCCCAAAAGTGATGATTCTCCACAACCATTTCCTCTTAAAGACTTGCCTAGTGGTGCATTAGGAAAACCAAGAGATAGAACAACGTTTAAAGGTGTCTTTGATAAGTTTGTTGGAAGCTTTAATGGTAAACAAAATTCTGTATCCTCTTACATACTCACCTTATTAATGTAGACTTGCTAAATAAAGACAAGCAATCTAATGATCAAGAAAAAGAAATGGAAATATCAGGCCCTTATAACGCAAAGCATGTTACACATGTTGGATTTGATGCTAGTACAGGTGAATTTACTGGTTTACCTCAAGAATGGCAAACATTACTTCAATACAGTGGCATCACTAAACGAGAACAATACCAAAATCCTCAGGTAAGAAAAATAAATTTTAATAGTAGTAGTAATAATAATAACAATAATAATATACATGTATAGGCTGTCTTGGATGCCATCGGCTTCTATCAAGAGAACAGGGACCATGATGAATCTGTTTACCATAAAATGGAAAGAGCGCATGCAATTAATGATCGTGATATTCTTCAGCAAGATTACAATGACCATGTTAATGAACAAATACTTCCTGTATTGCCTGAATACAAGGTAAGACTATATATATCCAGTGTTTATACTCTATTCACACACATGGTTTGTTGAATTAGAAAACGAGTGCACCCGAACGATTGATGGATGAACAATGTAAGTAAACAAAAAACAAAAGGAGAGTTATTGTTAATATTCTTTATAGTATATCATCAACAATTGTATCAAAGACAACTTCAATTACAGCAATTAAAGCAACAAGAGAGATTGATGTCCAAAAGCAGTACCAACACAAGTAGTTCACACGCCGCAAGAGATTATGATATCAAGAGAAAACTAAGTGCTAAACAACGAGATAGACGAGAAGAAAATAATAATAATAATAATAACAAACCTGCTCCATCCCAACTCACAGGACAACCTGGTACTGTCAAACAACGTGTAAAGGAAAAAAAGCATGCTATGAAGGATAGTGAAGTGATTGCAAAATTAAAAACCATCTGTATCGAGGCTGATCCTACTTTGGTATACAAAAATATGAAAAAGATTGGTCAAGGGTAAGAAAAGTTTATTACTGTTGTATATACTCATATTACTATAGTGCCTCTGGTGGTGTCTATATTGCTTATACCGAAGGAAGTGATTATCCTGTGGCTATCAAACAGATGAATCTTGAACAACAACCCAAGAAAGAATTGATTATCAACGAAATCCTTGTCATGAAGGAATCAAAGCACAAAAATATCGTCAACTTTATCGACTCGTATCTGTGGCGTGGTGATTTATGGGTTATTATGGAATACATGGAAGGTGGTTCACTTACAGACGTGGTAACAAACAACATGATGATGGAAGGACAGATAGCTGCTGTTTGTTATGAAGTATTGGAAGGTCTTCAACATTTACATTCAAAGGGGGTTATTCATCGTGATATTAAGAGTGACAATATTCTTTTGAGTCTCTATGGTGATATTAAATTAAGTAAGTTCTCTATTTACTCTGTGGTGATACAACGTCTCATATCTTTATCATAGCTGATTTCGGCTTCTGTGCTCAATTGAATGAAATGCAATCAAAACGTACAACAATGGTAGGCACACCTTACTGGATGGCACCAGAGGTAGTAACTAGGAAAGAATACGGACCTAAAGTAGACATTTGGTCACTTGGTATCATGGCTATTGAAATGGTAGAAGGCGAACCTCCTTATCTGAACGAAAATCCTCTTCGTGCTCTTTATTTGATTGCCAACAATGGAACACCTAAACTACAAAACCCTGAAGCACTTTCACCTATTTTTAGAGACTTTTTAGCTAAATGCTTAGAAGTCGAAGTTGATCGAAGACCATCTGCATCAGAAATGTTAAAGCATCCCTTCTTACAATTAGCCGATCCTTTGCCTTCACTTGCACCTCTTATCAAAGCAGCTCGTGATGCAGCAAGACGAGACGACTAAATCTTTTTCTTTATCTATTATATTATCAGTTAATTTGTATTGTAATTGGAAAACAAAAAAGAAACACTGTAAACTACATGGTTGTCTCTTTTTTTTTCTCTCTTTTCTTTGATTATTACTTCTTCTTATTGAAGGATGTTTGTTTTGAATATGTTTTAAAGAAAAGTACATACATGTATTCCCTTTACTCGTACCTTTTTGTAAATTTTTTCTCTTTTTTTTTTTTCTTCTTTCCCTCTATAATAATAAAATGATGAGTGAATCAACATTGCCTTCTTTATCAGAGGTAAAGCAATAATTTTCAATGTGTCTTTGCATGTTTACTAACTTTTATAGTTTATGGACACATTTGGACTCATTGATGCCAGTGCACCTGATAAAGTAAAACAAAAAAAAAAGCATGTCCTTTGATGTCATTTCTCAAACATTCATTATAGTCAATTAAACACTTGTGCGACAACATCTTTGATGTGCAGCGTAATGAGTTAATGGAAGTATTGGATAATCTAAAAACAGTATTTTGGGATGGACCAACCGAGACAGCTACTATTACAACAACAACAAGCAGAACCCCTTCTATACCAGAACTTCCTAGTGTTCCAGAGACAATTTTACCCAATGTACCTATCATAGCCAAGATAATCGATAACAATGACAATGAGACTAAACCCAAAACACTTAAACGGGCCGTATCTGATGAAAGTGAACCCGAAGAGCTCCAGTCTTTGACACATAAACGACCTCGTCTGGTTTCACTTCCAGAGCCAACAGATAAAAAGCCCACACCCGATCTATGGCCAATAAAGCTAGCGATACTACGACAGATGTTATCAGGCCCTTATAACGAAACCAAACTCATGTCACTACTGTCAGATGCAAAATATCGAGTGACATCAAAGGAGCAACTACATCATCTGATAAACTATTTTCTTCCTGTAGCAAAAGAAATGAGAAGGTGGAGGATTGTAGAAGCATTAAATAAAATGGTTTAATTCCATATAATCTTTTTCATCGACGGCCGACTACGTGATTTTGAAGGAGGAATGGATAGTGATGGACTGCTGCTGCCTGGAAGATCAGATCGAATGGAGAATTGGTCTGAGTCATGAGGAAAGTCAAGCTGGGCAGAATACTCTTGGAGATCAAGCCTGTCGACTCTACTTTCTTCTGCCACAGTCGTACTTTCCACGTCACGTTTGCTAGATGTCTGACTGATAGTGCTGTTTATGTTTGGTAAGCCTACGACAGCAGAGGATTGTCTGTTGAGCACGCTCGCTTGGCCTGGCGCCAAGTGTCGGCGAATCTGTTCCCTATCGATCACGAGCGAAGATGGAGTAGATGCTTGCCTGGTTACCGACTCACCATCTGCAAACGTAGGCGATGTAGGTGTGAAAGAAGTGTCCTCGTGCAGGATGCCAGGATCAACAATATTGGTTGATGCAACCACTGAAGAAACAATGCTTTCCTGTGGACTCAACAGCATGGTGGACACGTCTGTATTGGATAAAGAAGAATGAACGTCTCGTCCTTGTTCGGTCGTTGTGGTCTGTCGGATATATTCATCATGTTCTCTAAACCATGCACGTTGTTTCAGTCTTGCTTCTTCAAACATATAGAACCAATTGCTTGGAACATTTGTTTTCAAATATCTACTCCATAGATGAATGGGCGGATTTCCACACTCATCAAATGCGTCATATATGTCAAAATCACCTGGCAGCTGTCTATACAATTAATGCTTTAGCTACTGTGCTTTTCTTATATATATATAATTACCTTGCTTCTGACCATCGCATAGGCTCTACCTCGGAACCTAAATCATAATTAATAATCCTCTCTCTACATATACCTATATCTTACGAAGAATCGAAAAGCAGCACATATCATCATTCCATCCTATACATGCTACTATTAGACGCACCCTCCTTTTTTTTCATGTTTATTTCTTTACCTTCAAAAAGAGCGAGACTCACTTGTTTAATTTTTATGATATATAAAGAACCTTGTTGTAACTGATCATAATGCACAGGAACAAATGGTGCGTCGGGACTTAATGGGCTGGCGATACCCTTTTTATTAAAAGAAGTGTTTGAAGAAGGAGTCCATTTTGCAAGTTTTTTCAAGGTTGTTGTTCGTGATTTGTTGGTTTCTACCATTGGCGCCATTAGTTTATGAAATAGAAGTAAAAGGAAAGGCAGCCTGCCAAAACAGGTTATAAATAGTTGTTGTTGTAGAACATCAAATTTATTGTCTGTTGGTTACACGTGTATTGTGATAGTGTAAAGCTATTTTATATATGATAAAAAGTAAAGTGTTTATTGATAATAACGAGTTTATGGGAATGAACTTAGGCACAGTAAGAAATCTTTTTAGAGTTGGACACGTTGTTACAGACGTTCTTGGTGGTCTTGCTGGCCTTCTTGATATTGATTTGATCTAAAGTGACGTAAGAGCATGGTGCCTTTGCAGAGCAGTCAATGCTGACAATGGGGTGATTGACATTAGCAGCAGATCTGAGCAAGCACTGTGTTAGATATAATACGGATACTAAAAAAAATCACTTACCCATGAATGTTGTGGAATGCAACATGACTAATAGACAAAGAAGTATCCTTATTCTTGGTACAATAAGACATTTGATTCTTGTCACAGTAATGAGTAGTGATGATAATTGGATTTTCAACATTGTTGAGCTCAACATTTCTATAACTGACATCTTGAACGGCACCCTTGCCGCCAGGCCATGTCTTGATTCTGACACCATTTTGACAGTTGTTACAGACGCTGTTCAAAACACGAACAGTCTTGACGTATTCAGTCTTGCCACCTTTACCAAGAGAACCAACGCTGAAACCATGACCACCGTTACAGGTGATGTGAGATAAGGTGATATTGTTGACACCTGAGATTGTTAAAGCAAGCCATGTGTTTACTTACAATGCACTTACCTCCATTAATAGCAGTACAGTCATCGCCAACGTTGAGCTCAGAGTTTCTAAAGACAATGTTGCTAGAAGAAGAAACATCTAAAGCATCAGTGTTCTTGGCAGGGTTCTTGCTTGAGGAGACGGTATGAAGATAGATATTTTCAAGAACAACATTGTTGGCACTGGTCAAGGCCATATGAGCTCTAGGAGCATTGTAGATCTTGAAATTACCAAAGACAGAATTAGTGGCCTTGATACGAAGAACAGTAGGGGCGGTATGATCCTGCTTGTCGTACCTATTGTTTTCTCATTTGATTAGTCGAGAAAAAATGAAGGTAATCAATATCTTTTACCAGGCTTGGCCATTGCCAGTGATGGTTCCTCCACCGGACCAGTGAATGTTGTCACCCTTGATTTCAATATATGATTCCTTGCCCTTGAACTTGCTATCATAAGGAGGCAAGACAAGTTGACCAGCAAAATTGACATTGACATTCTTAACACCAGAGATAGAGACCATACTCTTGAGGTAGTAAGTGTTGCCCTTTGGGAAATAGACTGTACCGCCTGTCTTACAATTGTTGAATGCTTGAGTAATAGTAACGGCGTCGTCAGATTTGCTCTTGGCAACAACACATGTCTTTCCAGCAGCCACTTCGTTAAAGCCAAGAGAGAACAACAAGATAGTTGCAATAGAAGTAGTCAAAGAGGCGAATTGAACCATGATGGAATATAAAACGAGATTGATTCTGAAAAAAGATAAAGAATATGTGTCCTCCTTTTATATTGAATTCTGCTATAGAAGAAATCAGATAACTGTTGACAGTAGATGTCTGAGAATGAATCAGTATACAAGTGAAATATATATTAATAATTAATTATTTGTGAGTGCATGTGTTTGCTATCGTACTCACATATTACAGAATACGTTATAGGAGCAAGATAAAGGATACAAAGGTACATAAAGGCATCGTATAATTGAAAAGGCACAAGACAGCTCAAGGCAATGGCTGCAAATTGCACGTATAAGCAAGCAATGGGCATATAAAGCTACGGTTTACATGCAGCAACGGCGTTACAGTAAGTTACACAATCAAATATACATTGACACAGAATTTGTTCAAACAATCGCGGCATTGATCACTCTCGACATATTATGGAATTGAACAAGTAGATATGTTCAGAATGATTGAGAGATAAAAGACTAGGAAAAGATGATTAATAATCTTGTATAATATTATAAAACAGAAGCCCTTTCTTACTTGTATGATATTGCAAAGCAAGATCAAGATAGTTCTGGATTGTGTCCATAATCCACGTTTTGATTTTCTGGGTTCTGAGTCTTGAAAAAGTAGAAATCTTTATCATTCCGAGGCAAACCCTGTACTTTTATCAATCTTGTAAAAAAAAAGGAGGGGATAGATTATACAGTTTATATCCAACTACTGATTATATATACTTTGGACAACTTACTAACAAAAGCAAATTGTATGTTGCTTTTGAAATGCTTCAATTAATGAATGGAATCTATGCTTTGGATCTTGCGGAGGTGAACGATAAAGCTTTTATTTTCATTTTTAATAAAGTCATGTTTAATTACTGTAACTTTATTTTTCTGTATTCTTCACAATGTTGTCATTGAAAAGCAGGGTAACTTTATTTTTCTGACTTTTTGACATCAGCTCATTATTACACCTTATCAAGTTAGATAAAGGGAGTTTTTGACAATATGAGTAATAACCCGCGTAAGCACCGAGCTTAAAACTCTGCTTTACTGTTTATTTGCAATTGAATGAATTGTGAATAGTAAAGCATGATATATATATCGACGTATTTTATTACAAGGCAAGTTTCGAAGTTTTTTTTTTTCTATCTTGCTTTTTTTCAAATTCGCGTAAAAAGAAATAAAAATCAACACATTTGCTTCTTTAACTTATATTAAATACACCAGAGAGAGAGAAATGGGGGGGGGAATTAGAGTAGATGTGCTAATTTTTATTAGATCTTACCTTTTACTAGTTTGCTTGCAGTAGTTGAGCCTCTCTTTAAATGTATAAAAAATAATAAAATGTGAATCAACACGTTATTGATGCTTTTACATGTCTTTTGTTCAAAATATATTGTTTTTCTCTAATAAATTCATTTTGTAATATCCTCTTTTACCATTTTTTCTTTTTGATGGCAGCCTGTTTATCATTTTCTGAGAAAAAGTTATAAAGTACATGTGTTTGTATATTTAAAGGGCAATGCATTGTATTTATTAATCGATTCGTTTTTACTTATATATCATTATTCATGACTATTAGTGATATAATAGCCAACAGGTCGTGTTTTCTATACAGGTTCAAGAATATTACATAATGCGGCGTATTACTAGCTTAAAATGAATATTGTGACTTTTTCTAATTCAATATATTTAATCTCATCTCAAAGGGTCACAAACTGTGCACATACACTTTGTTGTAATTGTCACAAGAGCAATGACGGACAATGACGAGCAACTACAAACAAACACTTACATTTGGAGTCAAAGCAGAGATCAAGTAACAATTACATTTCTTGTTCCCGACTCTTCCAAGGCCAAAGATTTGGAGATCAAAATTGAGAGATACTATGTCAAGGCAGGACTAAAAGGACAAGAGCCTGTCTTTCAAGTACGTTTGTCAAATATTCAAAAGTATTGTTTCTCTCCTTTTTGAAGCTAATGATTATGTTTTAGGCCAAGTTATATCAACCCATTAATCACTTTGAATCACTATGGCAGTTGGAAAAGAATTCCATGTCACCATTTTCTTCTTTGACAGCTTCACCCAGTCTGTCTATTGCTTCTTCTTATGCATTCATGTCTTCACCTAATCATTCACCCAATTCATCCATGATCTTGCCTGAGGCAGTGGATACAGGACTATCAGAAATGTCAGACTTGATTGCACAGACAGGTGCCTTGGGCTCTTCACCTCCTATGTCTGAAGCTGAAGCGTCGCAGCCTGCTTCACCTGTCTTATTGCATACGCCACCTTCTGTGTCGACCCCACCTCATTTACAAAAAACAAAGTATAGAGTCTTGACTATTCACTTGGAGAAGGAGGATGATACAATAGAGTGGGTTGTGCCTGTTTCAGGTCCACATCATGAGTCAAATACTCTTGATATTACATCATCTTATTTGCTAGCTCAATGGTTTGAAGTGCGTATGGGTGATCTTGTGGTAAGTAAAAAAGAAAAAGCGCAATATCATAATCTCCCTCATTTAACCTCTTTATAGAAAGCACTCAGTTATTATCTATCGGCAGCTGAAAGGGGTCATACGGCTTCAATGCTCAAGGTTGCAGGATTATATGAGGTAAGAAGCGATAATGACCCATGTAGAAATAAACTACAATGCGTTTATAGATAAATAAAGAGACAACAGTTGCAAAGACAGTGCCCGAGAAAGATAGCAAGAAAGCATTCGAATGGTACAAGAAGGCTGCTGATTGTGTTGAAAAGGAGCTTGGAACAAATATCAGTAATGGACCCGATCCTTTTGCATGTTATGTTGTTGGAACAACCTATGGAAGCGGTTTACCCGAGGCAGATATCGAAAAGGATTACCAAAGTGCTCTTTATTATTATAACCGTTGTATGACAATCACAGCGCCTAGAATTGATGTCGATTTTTCAGTACTAGATCAAGATCACATTCCCAGGTCCAAGTTACGCAATCACGCACCTCACACGCGTGATGAAAAATATTTCTGTAGCTCAGCATTTCAAACAGGCTTAATTTACTTGTATGGATCTCATCCAGAGGGACAGTCAATTCATTCTACTACCGTAGTAGATCCTAACCCTGATTTGGCTATTCGCTACTGGAAGGAAGCTGCTCTGCTTGGTCATGCACAGGCATGCTATAACATTGGTATATTGTATGCTAATGGTATGGGCGTTGAACGCGATGTTTGGACAGCCGGCAAATGGTTTGGTAGAGCTATTAAACTAGACACTACCAATACATTAGTTGTTCCTGAAGGGGTAAAGATCATTGATTGGGATGCTACAAAGGAAGAGAAAAAAGAAAAAGATGCTGTTGATGCAAGTGAAAAGAAGAAAAAGAAGAGAGCCAAAAGAGCAAAGAGATCGAGTAGCGGCAAGAATAATGACGATGTTATTGGTGCTATTGTGGCATTAGGTGCTATAGCCGCAGTTGCCGGCGTGGCATGGTTTTTGTACACAAGAGGGAAAAAGGGTCAATAAAGAAAAAAAATATGATTCATCTTTGCTGCTTTCTTTACTCTTCCCCAGGCTGTAGACAAGAATTACGGATTCGATGCCAATAAAGGCGAATGATCCGAAAAAGACGGTCCTCTTTAAAATAAGAGCAGGCACATGACCTTGACTATTGACGTTATTCTATTTTAGAGTTTATGCCTAATGATAAAAATTAGAGTGGCATTACAGCATCTGAGAGAGAATTGTTTTATGCAAGCATATATTATTTGCCTCGTTTCCTTTTTCTTTAGACTTATTTGCTCAAGAAAGCATATTTTTATAAACAGATTTTAATGCTTCTGTGTCATTTCCAAAAAGAAATATACGTATGATCAATGATCAAACACGACAGCCCCCGGAAATGACTGCGGCCGTTCTGTTCAAAAGATTAAAAGCATGAGATAGGAGGGAGGACATACAAGTATCATATCGTGTTCACCCGATTGCCTTTTCGGCGCCATTTCCTGTCAATTTTACAATATATATTCAATATATAAATCCTTATCTCTGAGCAACGCTAGATATAAACTTTTAGATATATTGTTTGAAAAAAAGGATATAACGCATTTTTAATTATGATGATTAATATAATCAATTATGCATAGACATACTAGTGTTTGACGGCTCAGAGAGTTCCGTAGAGTAAAAAAAAGAGAGAGAGATTATGACTCTATCGTTTCCCGTTTGTTTATTACATTTATGGATCTACCAATAGTTACTGTCATCAGGTATCACAAGATGGGCAATCACGACAGATAGTACTTTCAGAGAAAATAAAAGCCATGATATTGGTACATAATCAAAACAGTATTTCAAACATCTTGTAACTATTCTTTGTTTATGACACTTGATAGCAGCGTGATTGTTTTGTTCAAGTTACCCAAAATGGAATACGTGGACGAATAAGCATATAAGACTGGGAATGACCGTAAAAGGATGTTTTTTTTTTTTGTTTTTTTGCTGGGAACTCCTTTATTTGTCTCATCCTTTCTTACTGAGCCTCAATAAATCATATTTCTAAATCATATTTTGTTTGGGCTGGTGTAATACAAATTGAAGAAAATGAAATACACAATTGTAAATCTTATAATGGCTCATTTCTTTATTTGAATTCAGATGAGCAATTTAAGCTATAAAAAGTGATTTATAAAAAAAAAAGATCTACATTGTATCAAAAGTGAAAGGATAATAATGCACATAACCTGCAGTTTGGTTCCATTGTAACATGCCACTTTTTATATACTCCAGTCTTTGCTTCATGCCATCCAAGTGTAATGCTTGCGGCTCGGACAGCAAAGTTAAAGTGTTTGTATAACCTTAAATTCAACTTGCGCGCAGATTCATGAAAAAAATATAACATGGTTTTTTTTTTTTATTATTTATTCTTCTTTTATTCTTCTTTATTTTTCTTTATTTTTCTCTTTCTCTTTAATATGCGAAAGTACTCTATTGATTCTATAGATACGTCGCCGCCCAACGTTATCTTGGCTTTAACCCCGGAATCTAATAATAGCAATCCAAGTATATATGCAGTAAGCAACAGTTCAAGTCCGACAGCTGCCGAATCATCTACAGACAGTTTCTCCTCTGTTCCTGAAAAGATTCGATGGTCGTGCCATAAAGACGTTCTAAGAGCCAACTCCAATTATTTCAACTCTATTTTCAACAGTCAATTTCAAGAAGCAGAGGCATCCATTGTATTCTTACCCCGTGGAATGTTCAGTGCTTCAGTATTAGATGCTGTTCTCTATTATATGTATACCAAAACGTTACTTCTCGAACATGACGATAAAGATTTAGAGTTAATTCAGTCATTGTATCTCGCAGCAGACTATCTCGGTATGGAACAATTGTGTATCACCATTGAGCAACATATCACAACCCATTTGACGCATGGCTTCAACTGCTACTGTGAGAACTGCGTTTTGGTTGTTCCTCTCCTTTTATCATTTACTGGTCCTAATCAACAAGATGATATCCGTCTGAGCAAGATGACTCTAGCGATTGTGAAACTGTTGACACAAGATCCCGAAAAGGCTCTCCCCACATTTTGGTCTAGTCGCTCTATGGTATTATTGCTCACGCAGAATCCAGAAATGGAATCCCTCCATGAATATTTAGAAAATGGCTTACTTAATCATGTGAACAAAAATAATGCAATTGAGTCACTCTATGGTTGCTTTTTAGCTGAACAGTTACTTGAAAAAAAGAAGAACGAGTTTGATACGACATTACTAGAAATGACGATCAACAAAGTAGTCAAAACAGGATCTCATCTTTTGGCAAATGATTTTGACTTTTACTGTACAAAATATCCTAAATTACTCTCCTGTGTTGACGGAGTTATCTATTCATTTGACTTTTTAATATACGTGATATCCATTGTGCTTGATAGTCAAATGAATGAACGGAATGCCTCTTTACTCTATAAAGGCATTGTCAAGCATCTGATGTGCAGAGATACAGTTCAAAACTCAAGTCGAGTGAAATCAATATTGCAGATGGCTAAAGATAAAGTGGTTAAATACATTGGCGCCAATTTGTTTACAATGAGAAAGTTAAATCTAATAGACAAGAGTGTTATTGATTCACTATCTCAAGGTACTAATGGCTTTATTTTACTTTTTACATTTGATTAATTTATGTATATAGATCTCGCCATACATCCTAGTGTGCTGACAACAGATCAGGAAGATATTAGACGAAAACAAAATACCAGCACACAAGAGAATAAAAGAAAGTCATACCACCAAGCATTCGGCTGGAATATCAAATTAATACGCACACGTTTTTCCTTTCTCTTATTTGGTCAACATTTTAAGATTGGCCAAAAAGTGCAACTGCTCAATAGACCGATTATCACGACTGGTACAATAGCTTATGTTGGTAAAATACCAATCAAAGAAGGTGAACGATCTAAGCATGCTGAATACATGTTGGGTATTGAACTGGATAGAAGAGGTAATGAATCAAAAATCAAAAAATACCATATATAGTTTATTTACGCCATTGTATAGTCGGTACCAATGACGGTTCCATAGATGGTAAACGATATTTCACCACATCACCAAATCGAGGTGTTTTTGTTAAACCGTCAGATGTTGTCTTGTTATAACTTTGTGTGTATATATTATATATATATATTATTATTATTATTATTACAATTAGTATACACGCTTAGCTGTATTCATTTTATTCCCCTCCCTCCTTTTCTTTCTTTGCTTGTTTATTGTTGTTTTGTTATGGCTTACTTACATATATACATATATATATTTAATATTTTTGAATAAATAAATCATTTAATAGTTTGACATTGAATAATATAGTTTATTATGCTAACTTTATATTGCAGTAACCATATGCGTAATTTCTAGGGTGATGCAAGAAGAAGGGGATAGTTACTTGATAATGCATAATGATAGTACAAGCACTTTTTTAATATTCCCGCCCTCTCTTCTTGCTCATGTATGATCATATGACAGGCTAATGCTTACTAATAAATGGCGCAAATAACTAAAAAGTGTTAGTATAAAGCATATAGACTTGGCACAACAGGCTTGTTGACAGAACGAAAAGGTAAATGTTTCTCTTTCGTGACTCAAGTATACTAGACAGGTATTTGCTAAATAAATATATACATTTTTAGAAATATGAAAGACAGTTTTGCAAGTTATTCATGATGTCCATTCTATAAATACGATTGAACTCTTCTTCTTCATGCATAACTATTTAAGCAACTAATTATAGGTCATTTTTGTAAGCATGCTACTTGCTGTGGCTTTTCTTTTTTACATGTTTATTAGGCAAATATAAAAAAGAGTCATCTGACAAGTGCTTGGCAATAAACATTTATGAACACTGATGACATTGACACTGCATTTTTGTTAATAAATGTCACGAGAAATGAAATCGTGGCGCAGGTAGGATAAACATTCTTCATTGTCCCGTTTCCCTAGGACAGCAAAAATGGAATTTTTCAAAACGAGGCTTGTACTGTGTATAAAGTTTAAACAAGCTATCCTGACAGAGCGCCAAGCTGCTTTACTTGACAGAGCAAACATAGAAGAAATGAATGGTAGTGCTGTGAGGTCAAACAGAGATTATCTGTAAAGCAGACGGAGCTTTGGAAAAGGTTGAAAGGAAACGATTAAAAAAATCATTACAAATTGTGAGAAAGTAATTGCCGAACCATGTGAGGGAAGCAATGTAGAGCAAGCTTGGAATTGCCAATGAGAAACAAAATGATGTGCTTTTATCATGACGGAGATACTCGAGAGGAGTTTTAGACTGCATAGGGTGTGTAAACGGAAGGTAAGCAAAACAAGCAGCTGAAAGACGACACAATACAATGCAGTAAGAGCTAGTACTCCCTGTGCTTAGAGTCGTATCTGTCGTGTGTATTTTTCTTCAAGCTTAATGTCAACTATCGCCGCACAAAGCTGTCTTCACAGTCGATATCCTTGCAGTAAACTTCTATGGACCACTTGGCTCTCAAGCTAAGCATTTTGAATGCAATGCCTATAACCACACTGACAACGCCACATTTAAATAATGGTCATAGCTTCTTTCTAGTAAGCCTTTCATTTAATCTTGCTTAATAATATCTAGCCTTTCTTTTTAATAAAGAACCTATTTTACACGTCATCAACTTGTTTAGCATTTACAGTTATAAAGCTGCAGACTCGGCTTTCACTGCTGAATTCCGATTCTTGGACATTATTACAATTGAAGCTGGAGAGAAACAGTAAAGAAAAGGCGGATGGCGTCCGCCGTTTTGGAAAATGGGCCCGTCTTGTCAAAAAAGGAATTTTATAGTAATTATATTAACTAGATAGGCTTTCTTTAATTGGCTATTTCGTGTTGTCACCTTCGACTTTCACTTGGTAGATGCTCTCCCATGTCAATAAGTTCTGAAAAATGGTAAAGGCAACTTATACAGAATACCTAGTCATCAGCTAAGCGTGCTAATCGAGATCAGAACTGAACGTATACACACGCAAGACGCTCCTTGAACTCTAAAGAAAGTGAGGACGAGGATGATACGCGGCAAAGCGTACGCAAGCTTTTTCAGCTTTGCTTCTCAACCAATTGCGAATCACGATGGGGAGTTAAGTTGTGCATAGCCTGGTGTTGGAGTGATACACGTGGTAATACGATGTGCATAAATAGGCAAGTCATAACGCTAAACCATTTTGGTTAATTAGACGCCAACAAAAAAGTGGGTCTACTTATCATGAACTGCACAAATCTTACCTAAATTCTGATGATGTCAATCCACCCATACAACAGTTGCTATTATTGGCTTGTCAAGGGAATAAAGAATATTGGTCATATCGTTGAATTGTTCTTGGCGCCATGTCGCGCCCTTTCGGCGGTCACCCAAATGCTTTACAGCTTTTCCTTGAGACATTCTCTCGGATAATTACTTATTATTTTCCGCACCATGCATTAGTGCTTTCTTGGGCTTGTAATTGTTCTTTACTTAGAAATAAAACGATATCTCCCTATGAGAAAGGCTGTGATCACTCCATTAAGCAATGATTCAGAGAACCTGTATCTTCCTATCCAAGCTTTGCAACAGGAAAACGCAGATCGAATGCAGATCGCTTGCCTTTGTCTTCTCGGTGATTACAAATATTGAGCTGCACATCCTGGTGTGGTTGGGTTGACTTTCTCTATAGCTGATTTCTCTAGTAATTCTTGTATCGTCTGCTCTAGAAACGTTGCTTGTTCTTGTGAATAAGGAACAATGTACTTGAAAGTAGTGAGAACTTGTGAAAAGGGTATTTAATAGCCCTGTTTAGTCAGTAACTGTTTGAAATTCACATCCATTTGGTAAAGATTGGCTTATCCGTCCGTCTACTGGCTGTGGTCATATTGGATAAGCGGACTTTTGGTTTTAGTGTTGTCGCTGGCTGGCGTAAACACTATATTGGCTTTTATTGTTGCTGTAGGTGTTACGTTGAAACTACTGTGCTGGGGCAGTAGACTCTGCTGATAAAACAATGGGGATCTGCGCCTTTGTGCGTTATCTAAAGTTTTACGTGCAATATGCTGCTGGGATATGGACATTGAAATTTTGATAATGGCATACGGTCTTGAAAATCCATACCAGTTGCTTGGAATTCAGGACTAACTGTCTTGGATGCGACATTGTTCCTTTTACTGAGTTAAGACGTTGCTAACATGCAGTATTCATTTTCTAATATGTATCTTGTATATTTGGGCTATCGGCTTCTGTACTAATTTCATGTGTTAACGCGTCTAGTGGTATAAAGGCTGCTGAGAGGGCAAATTGGCGATGTTTAGCATTTTATTCTCTCTTTTTTGATCTTGGTTCATACGATGATGTGCGTCTGGCACTGTGGTGGTTAAGTCCTTCTGTTCGGAAGTATTTTGATTCTACAAAAGGGAGCTGTCTAATTTCATCATCCATATTGTTGCTGGTAAATTCTGGTTGCTGTTGTTATTGTTGCAATAGCTATTGTAGAAGTGCCTGAGTAGTCTGTAACTGTTGCTACATGTCAGAGAAATCAATGTCAGTAAAGTCAGACATTTTATGTTTCAAATTAAGCGATAATGACCAAGTGATAAAAAGAAGAGCAAAGAACAAAATGTTATAAAGACCATTCTATTGCTTTTTTGTAATTAATATAATGTCACAGAACCTCCCTTCTTTTTGATATTACATTCAAATGCTTTAAAGCTTTATGAAAATTGGTATTTCAAACAACTAATGACATTGCTTCGATAAATTCCTAGCGAACATTCTCCCTTTTTCTTCCTTTTTTCTCCCAAATGGCATCAAACACAAGTAAGTAATCAAATCGCCTCTTTGTCTCCCTCATTTTTTGCCCTCATCCTTTTTATTTGTTCTTTGATGTTTGGGCTAATCTTCTTCTTTTAAAGATAAGGATAACCCTCTCGACAACTGAGCAAATAAAGCATAAGGGTGGAATCATTTATAGTACCCTCTGTTATGATCCACACGGGGATAGTCAACCGACCAGCGAAACAGCTGTGTAAGGAGCTACCAGCAAGACACGCAGGGTGGTTGTCCTTTTTGATGTTTGGATTAATTTTATTCGTTTGACGGATATGGATAACCCTCTCGACAAATAGGACACGTGCTTTTGCTTACACCTGTACTTATTTTTTAGTTATTCTTTCTCTTTCAAAAGGAGAGAAAGAGAGAGAAAAGATAGGCTTCGCTAAAGCATACCAATTATACAATATGGCCTGTTTCTACTTGTTTAATTTATCTTATGAAATGCCTATCAATAAACAATTACAACATCAATTTGCACCAAATAAGCCATTCTTATAATTAGCACTATTCATTTTATTCTTAATATTGTATTTTATTTTTTTGTTATTTTTGCTCTCTACAAACCACACTGTAAGTCGCCGTTGGCAGCAAACTATTTTCATCGTAAGTGACCGGAGCATTGTCAGCATCAGCCACAGACATTTGCATTGAACGCTAACCATGTGGAAAAAAAAGGATAAGAAAAAATAAAACCCTACTGATTTTACTTGAACTTTTTTCCAACTGTCTCTTTCGGATGGTAGACGCGACAATCTCTGTTTCCTCCTTGAAGGCTTCGTAAGCGGTTCTGCTTCTTGTCCTTCTTATTTCTTGCTCAGCTTTTCCAATTCCTAGTTCAATATCATGCTAATCAATTTTTTCAAAGTCTAGAACAAATTCTCTTCTTTGCAACTTTTGAAGTGCAACTTTTGCAAATTTACTTCCCCATAACAACTTGACTTCTTTTATAGTTCTCTCTTGTACAGCTAATTCTTCAGCAATCAAGTTTTTATTTAAATCAATGAATCCTGATAAGGAAGCTTCAATGTTCATTCGTTGAGTATATAGAATGTATCTTTGAATTGCTTTTTGAAAGCTTTAGTAATTACTAGGCTTGAATAGTATATGTGTGTATATATGTTTTTTACCTTCTACGTAAACTTTTATTTTCATAGTGACATACACATATCTCTTTTTTTAAATCTTTTATGAGTAGTGCATAGTCACCCACTCCAAAAATTTACATTGTACATGGTCTATAACGTCGATGACTAATAAAGTAGGTCTCTTTAGTGTGATTATTTATCATTATCGGACACGTAAAGAAATAGAAAGTAAAATATAAGATTATACTCGAGCTATTATAATGATTTATCTCATCAAACACGTCAAACTAAGAGTACCTTTTGGTTATTTGTTGACGACAATATGAACCAAGATGTAAAATATATCAGGCCATCAGTTAATATTGCTTAAAAGTAAAATATTCACTGAGCGCTTTTTTTTTGGTAAAACTCTTTTTGCACTCTGAGGGAAAGGTCTCAAAGTCAATTGACGAAAAATGATTCCAAAAAAGGAAGTCATATTCGATCTGTTCATTGACAAAATGTCGTTGCAGTAAAAAAAAGTGTAATGGATAATGTATTTAGCCTTTCAATCTGTCATTCAATTACAGAAGCCACATGTTAAAAAGTTTTTCCGATATTTGTGTTCAAGTGAGTATCATTTTAGGAAAATTGTATTTGATTCTATCCGATTTCTCACTTGCTTTTTCTTTTTTCTTTATATATTTTTTTTTTCTTATAGTTGCTATGAACGATAATCAAAACAATGGAGAAGAAATGACTTGGAAGTCTTTGAACGATATGATCACACCAACTTATTCTCCATCGCCTTCACCCACGTCAACACCTTTAGGAGTAAAAAGATCAAGGATTAGTAGAGCTTGTAAAGTATGTCCATGATATCCTCATTTCAATTCTAAACAGTGTTCAATAATAGGTGACATATGCCGAAGAAAGAAAACAAAGTATGTAAAAAGTGTTTAAGTCAACTTTACATTCATGCATAAATATAATAGATGTGATGCGACTGAGACAAGGAAATGTAAGGCTTGTATACAATATGGATGGGAGTGCACTTTTAATGATGTAAATTCATTCCCCCTTTAATGTTTGAAACAAATAACTTACATTGCTGTAGACAACGAAAAAGAGAGGTCCTCCAAAAGGGTATGTAGTACACATAATCAAGCTTGTACAAAAATTTGCTTAAATGGTATCATAGTTACATTGAGAGTCTGGAGAATAGACTTAAGAAAATGGAAAATTTATTAGAACAAATGCAACATCAGGATAAACCTGAATCAACTGCAGATGAACCAGAGGAACCACCTAGAAAGAGACGCGAGCCTTCTATAGTAGAATTACCAGCATCTATAGAACATAGTAAAACTGCCAGCTACCTCGGCAGCTCATCTGGATATTATTTAGTGAGAGATATTCTATCAACAGATAAAGAAGTCATTGAGAAAGTGGATCAATATCCGAGGATATCTAGTGTCACCGGTGTAGAAAATAAAGGCCCCGTCGCATTCCGTAAAATTAATACAACAGATGACGATGTGATGATTGTATGTGATAAAACATTAGCTGAACATATGGGACAAGTAGAAGCAGACAAATCACGAATCAACTCTGATATTGCGCCTAAAGAATTACTAGATGAACTTATCTTAAAGTATGTTAACGTCAATTTGTTTCATTGTCTCTCATGTATATGTATATCTCTAGGTTTTTCGAATTGAATCATGCCGTTTTGCCTGTAGTTGATAAGCAGCCTTTTCTTGACGCTTATTACGGCAGAATCCAGCCTCCTCCAGCCACAGTATTGATGTACGCCATTTGGGCACACACTTGCTCACTTTTATCAATAGACGATCCTTTATTTGTAAAGTACAATGTCGATCGAGAACAACTTTATGATGTACTTTGGGAGCACACTTCAAGTATCTTGAGACTAGAATACTTGACTCCAAGATATGCAACTATTCAAGCATTAGTGCTCATTTGTACATATCCAACTACATATAAAACATTTCACAGAAATTGGATAAGAGCAGGCATGGCAGTTAGAATGGTAACCTAACGATAAAAATCAACCATTTCCCCCCAGCTGACATATTTGAAGGCACAGGAACTTGGGTTACACAGAACCATGGAAAAATTACCACTGACAAAAGAAATGACTGAGGCGCGTAAACGGCTGTGGTATTGCGTTTATATCACAGATAGGTGGTGCTGTGCTGTGTTAGGACGACCTTTAGCTATTTCTGATGCCGACTGTGACATTGAATTGCCTGATATCACGCATAATGGCAATGACTATACTGTTTTTGTAAACTTTGTCAAGCTTTCGGGCATCTTGGGCGAGGTGTTATCTCGTATTTATTCTCCTAAAGCAAAATCTCACGGAAGCAAAAGCATGCAGACGTATCATACAGTACAGAGTATACATTTCATGTTGAATGACTGGCTACAGCAACTACCTAACCATTTACGGATTGAGTTGCAAGATATGAATACAGCCTTAAACCACGGCAATATAAAATTTGAAGAGGCCGGCCCTTTGATGATTTGCTATCACTTTGTCCTCATCTTACTCTATCGTATTTTCTTGGTGGCAAACAGGAGCGAAGTATTACCTGAGCTATTTGACAGGGCAAACGAGTGTTGTACTACAGCTGCAAAAAGTATAGTTGACATCGCGAGAAGACTATCTGCCTCTGCTGTTGTTTGTTTCGGTGTTAACTTTGCCGGTAATTGATGAAACTGGTATTGTATTAAACATACTTATTCAGTACTACCTAGGTTATGCCATATTCCAAGCTAGTCTTATACATGTATATAACTCAACTAGTTCAAACCCTGAAGTTGCAAGAGCAGCAAAAGCTTATGTGAATATTAGTATAGAAGAATGTATTAAGCCCCTCGCAAAGACTGTACACTGTATCCCGAAGACTAGTTTGGGATTAATACAGGCACTGATGGAACTTACTGGGGCAAACAAAGACGGGCCAAAGTCAGCAAACGATGTATCAAACGACATTGCTAACAACACCACTACTACACCGTCCACTTTTCGCCCATCTCCACCTAAACCGCAACCATCACCCATGAGTATGCACGCAATTGTATCAGATTGGGAAAGTAATACAGGTTCAAATAGTACGTACAATAACGGAGGATTACCAGCAATGCAGGCACCGGAGCCATTTAATAATAACAACTCAACAGCAGCATGGCAATCTCTATTTGCATCAGCAGGAGCACCATTTTTCGAAAATGAGAGTGATTGGCAAGGTAAGTTAAGCACGTTTACAGTGATGATTTTGCTTACATACTTCTTTTATTAGTGATGTTGTCTTCTTTATTTGATGAAAATCAAATGAAAGCGATCAATAATTCTTTTATTTAAACAAGACTAAATGTCTTTTTTTTTTTTAATCAAGTGTAAAATCTACCAAAGTATGCTTTCTGCTTAAAGAAAGCAAAATAGTGTTCTTTTCAGAGTTTATTTTGTCATCTTTGGCATTAAAAGCGTCCAAGTTCAGCCTCAGATTGTCCAAAATACTTTTGTAACACTATAAAACACATTACTGCTTTACTCTATTTTTTTTTTTTCTTTTTCTTTCTGTTTCTTTTTAAACGAATAACGATGGATAGATACGGATACCCAGAACCAGAAGAAGTTACCAATAGCTATGAGCACCATTATTCTTCTCATACCTATTCTTATGTAATTTATATATGAATACGTAAATTTTTTATTAAATAAACTTTAACAAAAAAAATAGACCTCGTCCGAGAATAGACACTCCTCTTCTTCTCACAGAATTTCTTCCGATGATAGTAACGACCCTACGTTCACAGAACAAGATTACGCGCATCCCAATCCAAACTACCCTCAGCCTCCTGAGTCAAAACATAATCCTGGCCCGGATCCTGGTAAGAGACGTACGCTAAATGAACAAAAGGAAGATTAATACAGTAAGCTAGTTCCATATGGTGGTATGGTCAGTCATCAAGGCGATAATGATGATGATGACAGAGAAGATGGCAAGTTTTACTTGCATGTAGATCCTACTGTTGATCAAGATGAGCTGTCCGATTTTGAACTTTCAAACTGTAAGCATAAAGCTAAAATATTATTATGCTCTCACACACCTAACGTGACACATAGGCCAGGGCAAAAAAAGAGCACTATTGATAGGTATCAACTATGTGGGTACTAAAAATGAGTTGAATGGTAAATAGGCTTGAATGATGCATCATATGCTGGAGAAAGCGTCGTAATCAAAATTTTTTTTTGAATATAGGATGCATTAATGATGTGCAAAACATTAAAAACTTTTTGACCTCTTTGTATGGCTTCCAGGAGGAAAGCAAAGATTTTATTTGGTAATATGCTTGATTGATTAATACCTACATATAGGAAGATATGGTTATTTTAACTGACAACCAAGAAAATCCAAAGTTCACACCTACAAGAGCAAATATCCTTGCTGCCATGCAATGGCTGGTTCATGACGCAGAACCTAATGACTCGTAAAGAACCATAAAAAAGGCAAGGTCTATCCCATCTCTCATGCTTTGTATAGATTCTTCTTTCATTACAGTGGTCACGGAGGCAGAATAGAAGATGCCCACGCGGACGAAGATGATGGGTTCGATGAAACTATCTATCCGCTAGATTTTGAACAGTTTGAAGGTACCTCTGGACAAATTAGAGATGATGTAAGACGTATTGAAGTGATGTTTGTAGACATGTATTCATTATAAATTATTAGGATATGCATGATATTATGGTACGTCCTCTACCCAAGGGCTGTCGTTTAACGGCTATCTTTGACAGTTGTCACTCTGGAACTGTCCTTGACTTGCCTTATGTATACTCTACAAGAGGTGAAATCAAGCAAACAAACTTGTTCAAACATGCTGGAATGGGCCTTTTGTCAGCTGGTGTTCTATATGCCAAGGGAGATAAGGATGGTGCATTGAGCTCGATCATGTCATTGGGCAAACAGTTGCTGGAAGCTCGTATGATTTCTAGCGAAGCACGTAAAAGAAATACAACCTTGGCCGACGTTATCATGTTCTCCGGTTGTAAAGATGATCAAACATCTGCTGATGCTCAAGAGGCTGGACGCGCAACAGGCGCTATGAGCTATGCCCTTACTAGTAAGTACTAAGCGTTCTTCTGCTTTGTAATTTTAAACTTGTATACTTGTAGCAACTCTTCGTCAAAACCCAAATCAATCATATCACCAACTACTCAATAATCTTCGTCGAATTTTGCGCGATAAATATTCTCAACGTCCGCAGATGAGTTCATCTCATCCTATTGATGTTAACTTGGAGTTTACATGCTAACTAGTTTATTTGAGTATAAAACTGGATAAACGAGCCAATAAAAGAGCAAGTAAATGATATCAACTACCCTTTTAATTCTATTGTATTATACAGTTTTTTCTACAAGTAATGTCGCATAATAATACAAAGTATACAAAATACGTCATCTTGGAACGATGTTACTTTCTGAAAATAGTGTATGTATCAGATAGTAAGGAATAACCAGCGATTATATGAAAGGGCAGCTGCTTTTCTCAAAGGAATACAACAGTGAGAACAACAACAGAACTGTAGTGACACCTATATAAAAGAGATCAGTTGAGTATATGATGGCGTAAAATGTTGTTTTAACAAGTAGTCCATGAACTAAATAATCATAAGCTTTAGATATTAGTCGCTACTATTGATTTATTATAAAACTGTGACCCGTAATGAAAAGATGTTACCTCTCATACAAGGTTTACTAAAATGGATACGCGTCAGGAAAGGAAATGACATGGACATGACATGCTTTACAATTCTACTTATTATACAAGAGCCATATATTTTGACCCTTTATACGCACAGAAACCGTCAGAAAAAGGGGAAAGAATAGGATCTTAAATGGCCTATACCTTTGTCTTACCAGCATGTGAAGCATTAAGCGGCATACGCCAATGGTCTAGTCTTATAAAGTCCGATTAAAGTCCACTGGAATTGGATTAGGCACGATAAGCATTAAACATACTTCCCTTTTAATGATCTGCCCGGGTTGTATGATGATCCAATTGTTTTTTAATTTGTACAACATTTACTAATTTATCTATTGTTTTTACACCCTTTCCCCTTTTTTTCCCTTCTTTTTGATATTTTCTTAAAGTCTCGACTTTATGCCCACGGAAGTCAATTCATCCAGAAAACAAAGTATATCATCCACTACCACTACTAATACGGCTAAGGCTATCTCGAGTCGCAGCTCCAAGGCGAGTAAAAGCTCAAGCACGAAAAAAATACCATCCTATCCCATTCCAAAATACGATCACGTAAAGAGTAAGATAGCAAGTAGCAAATCGCAACAGATTGAAGGTATATTATATATAAGTGTCCATTAATATGTAATAGTTAAAAATCATATAGACGAGCGCACTTCTTCATCATCAAGTATGTCTACAAGGTCAAACAAGGTCTCTTACGCTTCTAAGCGAGCTAGTATGGTCTCATCTCCTTCGAGTCGTACAGCCTACAGGTAATATTATATAAAATAACCTAGAAATCAAAAATGATTGTATTTTATACAATAGTATGGATATAAAAAGCCATGTTAAATCAAAAGTAGGCTCGCTTGACAACATTAACCATAAACCAGGTGGCGGCGATAAGAGAGTATTTGATGAAAAAGTTCATGTCTTGAAGGAAAAGATAGTTTCCAAGGCAAAACCAAAAATAGGCTCACTCGATAATATTAAACATAAGCCAGGTGGTGGCGATAAAAAGATATTTGATGAAAAGGTTCATGCTTTAAAAGAAAAGATTGTATCTAAAGCAAAACCAAAAGTCGGTTCGCTTGATAATATTGAGCATAAGCCGGGCGGTGGCGACAAGAAAGTATTTGATGAAAAAGTTCACGTCTTGAAGGAAAAGATAGCTTCCAAGGCAAAATCGAAAATAGGCTCACTCGATAATATTAAACATAAGCCAGGTGGAGGCAGCATAACAATATTTGATGATAAAAATGCTAAGCCCAAGTCGGTTGCAAGTAAAATCGAGAGCGGCATAAAAGAAAAAGCTAAACATACGACAATGACTAATCAAAGCGCGTCCGATATGAGTAAAAGGTCAAACGATGTCACCAGGAGTGATTCGTATGCCATAAACGCAACAGAGACTAAAGAGATGCCTATCCATATGTCTATTCAAAACTTGACAGAAGTTAAAACAGTGCTGGAGACATGCGTTGACGCATGACAACTGATTAAAAGAAAACTAATAAACCTTTCTCCTTTTTTTTTTATTTATATTAAACCACAGCGTAGCTTCCTCTCTTTTGGGTCAATGAAGTCAATCATCCTTCCTTTTTTCTTCTCCGCTATATTTTTAGTTTGTTTGTAGATGCTCTCTGCCGCATCTCCAATTACACTAAACACTACAAACCTACTACTGTTTAGTAGGCGTCTTTTAAATTGCCCAAAGTTTAAGCTTAATTACCAACCTAATGTCAAGGAAGCCGCTGTGCTTATGCCATTATGTGTTGTTAATGGTAAACCAAGTGTATTATTTACGGTGAGAAATATGAATATGAGAACTCATCGTGGAGAGATTAGGTAATTGTGATGTTTGCATAAAAGTCAACACATGAAATAACCCTTTACTCCTCTACAGCTTCCCTGGTGGAAAGAAAGGTATTTTTTTTTACTTTTGAAATTGTAGTTTTGGATAATTTCTCATACAGAGTTATACAATTCACAATAGATGAAACAGATGAAACAGTAGAGCAAACAGCATTAAGGGAAACAGAAGAGGAAATAGGCTTGCCGTCTTCATCTATTGATATCCTCGGACGCTATTCAGCGTTACCTAATAAAACAGGGTCGCTGCGTGTTCATCCATATGTTGGTTTTATTAAGGATCAACATATTGACTTAACACGGTTCAATCCTGAGGAAGTGTCGAGTGTGTTTACATTACCCATAGAATATTTGATTGACTCAAAGAATAGAGAAGTGAAGCAGTTTCGTGATAGTCCTATGAAATACCCTGTATTTAAAGTACCACAAAATATGGAAGGAGAAAAGGAGATTTGGGGATTAACAAGCTTTATATTGGATGGTATAGAAGAGAGAAACTTAATAAGCCAGTGTGTATTAACATAATTTTTGTCTAGGCGTGTTTCGAAAAATCATCCCAGAACACTATCAATAACACCACAGTGAATAAACACTTCATTTTCCTTACAAGTTAAATATACACAATGGATCGTCTTTTCTTATAATTCGTAAATGACTGTCGAAATAATACCTTCAGAATCAATAATTCTTGGCACTAAAGTGTTCGTCACTCTGCATAATTTTTAAGCACCTTTTTCTTATTCCTGAGCCAATAGCAGCAAAAATGAATGCACTACTGATTCTCTTTACAATGAGTTGTACATACAACTGCTATTTCTCATTTTCAAGCAGCTG